TTCTGCTGTGCATAAATAAGGTCGCTATGAGTCGGTACTGACTCGATGGCACCTAACAACAACAACATGTAGTGCCATAGGCATTTACTGGTGTTGTTATTGTTAAATGCTGTTAATTGATTCTGACTCATAATGACCCTGTGTAGGGTTTCCAAGGAGCATCTGGTGAGTTTGAACTTCTGACTTTGAGGTTCAAACAGACTTTGAGGTCCAGTGTTTATCCTATGTTGGCATTTACTAAATAATAACATTTCACTCTTTCCTTTATCTTCTTCCAAAGAGATAAATCAATAAGATAATGACTAATGAGAGGAGCACAGTGGCTCTGTAAGGTAAGTATAGGACTGTGAACCACAAGGTTAGCAATTTAAGCCCACCAGCCACTCCATGAGAGAAAGATGACGCTTTCTGTTCCCACAAAGATTGATAACCTCAGTAACTCTATGCAGGATCACTATGAGTTGGAACTGACTCAATGGCACTTAACAGCAATAATGACTAATGTGATTTCATAGTGAAAAGGTAACCAAATATCTTTGTGTTATCATGACCCACCTTCCCTTTTTGATCTTGAAGATTTCCCCAACCAACATTTTATTTGGAAAATATTGAAGTTTACAGAAAAATTATTATCCCTATTCTCTATGCCTTAGATTAACCAGTTGTTAATATTTTGTTATATTTACTTTATCTCTCTATATTTTGTTCTGAGCCATGAAAATAAACTGCAAACTGATACTTTATCCTGCAATGCTCTAGCACACATCTTATAAGAAAATTTTCCTAATAAAGAATACAATACCATCTGAAAAATATCGCATCTAAAAAAATCAACATTGGCATAGTAATATTATCCAATACAGAGTTCTTATTCAGTTGTAGTCAATTCGCCCCCAAATATTCTTTATGACAATTTGGGAGGGCCACAATGTGATCAAAGATCATGAGTTGCATTTAGATGTTATGTATGTTTATTGGAACTTTAGTGTGAAATTATCCCCCGCTGATTTCTGTACAAGGCAGTGGAAAGACATCAACCACAGCACTGTAGATCTTTGCCTTGTAATAAGGAATCCAGAATGAGGCCATATAAAAATGCTAATATCTAGAATACAAATTTGTTGAGCATAGAAAGAAATATTATCTCCACATTCGTGTTTACCAAGTAACTCCTGGCTAAATAAGAATGCTTTGCTCTTACTTAAGATGTTTCACCTGTAATTCAGAAATCCCAAAAGAGGTTTAAAAGAAAATTAATTCCATGAGAGTGGAGATGTTTTGGGTAGTTTCTTGTTTTGTTTTAATGAAAATCAATGGACTGGGGGGCGGGGGGAATCAATGGACTGAGATTCTTCCCTATAAATCTCAATTTCCATTTTCCCTCATTCCACCTAGTGACATTTGACCAAAAGTGTTTTTGGCCAATGATAATAAACATTTGTGCTTCTGGAACGGCTAGGAAGCTTCTTTCAAGTAGGTGGTTGGGAAGAGTGCACTCCAGCATAAGGATATCAACTGGATGCGGAGGAGCGCTGCCCCATATTCAGGGACTGAGGGTCAATGAATTAAATTGGATTGTACCAGAATCCTTCCCTGAAGGTTCAGATGCCCCCATGACCTTTCTCTAGATTTTTCTTTCGAATTTTCACATGTCACTGTACTCCTTCAATTAATGATCTTAGTGGATCGTGAAGGGATGAGAGAAAGATTGACCATTCTGAGTCTTTCCTTCCCAAGCCCAGTCCTGTAACAGTATTCCCTCAGTGTTCAGCTGAAATTTTTTCACCATTAGAAACAAATACTCAGGAATGGATGAGCTCCTCTGGAGAATTTTAACAAAGATCTAAGTGTTTGTGTGCTCAATACATTTCTTGAGCACCTACTATATGCCAGCTGCTGCAGCTGCAAAGTCAAGTTGACTTTGGTCATAGTGATCCCACATGTATCGGACGGAGTAGAACTATGATCCATGTGGATTCTGGACAGCCTTGAATCTCCAGCTTTTCAGTTAGGAGTCATAACTGTTAACTACGTCACCCAGAAGCTCCTAAACACTGCTTCTCAAATATCCCATGACTGTTAAAATCAATTCCAGCTCATGGTGACCCCATGTGTTACAGAGCAGAAGTGTCCCCACAGGATTTTCTGGGTCACCTGGTAGTGTAGTGGATTACACATTTGGTTGCTAACCACAAGGTAAGCAGTTTGAATCCACCACATGCTCCTAGGAGAAAAATGAGATTTCCTGTTCCCATAAAGATTTACAGCCTCAGAAACTCTATACGGCGTCACTATGAGTCAGAACAAACTCAAAGGCTTACCACCACCATCATCAGTCTTTATAGATGCCGATTGCCAGGTCTTTCTTCCACAGAGCTGCTGAGTGGGTCTGAAGCCCCTGTAGGTTAACAGCACCACCCAGGGATGTGTAAGCACAAATCTAAATCCACACATCCATTAACTTGATTCTGATTCGTGGGAATTTGATGGATGCAAGTCAGACAAATTCCCTGCCTACCTGGACTCCTGGTGTGGAGCTGTAGAATCAGCACTGGACTGCAAACCACAAGGTCAGCGGTTCAAACCCACCAGCTACTCCTTAGAAACCATATACAGGGTCGCTATGAGTTAGAATTCACTCAATGACACTTAACAACAACAACAACAACAATAGAGTCCTTGCTCTAGGATAAGCACTTGAACGCAAGGTCAGTGGTTCAAACTCACTAGCACTCCTTGGAAACCCTATACGGGGTCGCTATGAGTTGAGTTGGAACCAGCTCAACGGCACTTAACAAGAACAACAAGGGGGCTTACCTACATTCCAGTGGTGCTTTCAATTTAATTTCTGAATGAAGCTCACTTGATGGAATTTCAGGCATCGTTTCAGATTTGAGGATTTTGCAGACAACTTTCTCAGGCAATGTTTCAGTCCTGTCAGACTTGGTTACTACTCTAACCAGCCCTGACCACCTGATACTTTCTTGTTAAATTATTGTTGTTCTTGTGGTTAAGTGCCATCGAGTCAGTTACGACCCATAACGACCCTGTATAGGGTTTCCAAGGAGCAGCTGGTAGGTTTGAACCGCCAACCTTGCAGTTTAAACTGACCTTGTCCAGTCCAGCAGTCCTTCATTATTTCCTGATCGGCTTTAGTATTTCTCTTCATCACCATAAGAGGGTAACAAATGGTTATTTCCACAGCTAGTGTGGCGCTATAGGATAAACACTGGACTGCTAACCACAAGGTCAGTAGTTCAAGCCCACCAGCTGCTCCTCAGTAACTCTATACAGAGTCTTTATGAGTCAGAACAGACTTCACAGCACTTAACAACAACAACAACCCTCAGGTTTCATCAGTGCCTCAGAATTCAAATAGATCACACAGGATCAGAGAAAGGGTGAGGTAACCTTCCACACCCTAGCTGCTGCTATGACCCAAGAGCACATACTCTGTCATTGCAAAGCAGAGTTTTAGATTCACCAAATGGGCTTAATTAAACGTGTAAAGTCCCATATATGAAAACTATCAGACATACACTAACTGGAATTCTGGTTTGGTGCTGCAGGATAATGCGCTGGACCATAAGGTCAGTTTAAACTGCAATGTCTGCAGTTCAAAACCACTAGCAACTCCTAGAAACCCTATACAGGGTCGTCATGGGTCGCAACCGACTTGATGGCACTTAATAACAACAGCATTGTGAAACTATTCTGAATCATCGAGATTTTTATTTGTATTTTTCTATTATTAATAAAACACAGGTAATCTAGGAAGGCAAAATGCCTCTTTGACTCTCCTATCATAATCAACAATTCAGCACAAGGGAGATTTTTATTGAACGCAAGAGAGATAAATTGGAAGACAGGAATCAACTTATCAGTACAGAACCATCTAAACCTCTCACTCTAGAAATAAATCTTTTTTTTTTTCTTTCTGTTTTACAGAAGGTAAATTCAAAAAGGGTGCAACCTACCCATCAGCTCTTACATATTCTTCGTCTAAAAGCCCAGCTGACAAAACAGGCAAGTGTCTATGTGTGATTTTATCAAAATCTTTTTAGTTAGTAAACATGCAGTATTGTGTTTTTAGAGATAATGTAAAAATTAACATCTTTACTGGTTAGGCTCCACAGACTTGCAGTCATGTTTTCTCAGATGCTGGGAACATGCACACAGAAAACAGTGGGATCAAATGGCTAGGATTTGTTTTCTTTTTTGGTTTTAGCAATTTTGAGATTGACTCTGTATTTGTACCATTTTTGTTCAGAATGACTATTGCCTTGAATTTCATTGTATTACTGCTTTAGAAGATGACGTGACATTCTGTCTGGAAGTGTTTCCTGGCAGCTAAAAGGAAAAAAGTTGTCTCCACTTAAGTATGACATGAAGGGAAGCAAAAAAAAAAAAAAAAATGATGTGGCTTGTGTGATAAGGGCATTCCCTCAGTGGACAGCAGCTAATCCAAATAACTCAAGCAAAGCCCATACTGTGGGTTGGTTGTGCGGACTCAGCTTCCATGTGATTCACAAAAGAGGGCACAGGCAGACAGACCTCAGGCAAGGAAAACGCCCTTTTATAGATTTCTGTGTTGACGCGAGAAGTGGGCCATGCAGAACTGTGTATGTGGACTGTGGGGTACTGTCATTTCCCACATGGTCACAGAGAATGTAGGAGTTGCTTTCTAATGGGATCTTGAACAGTTTCCAGAAATGTGGTGGCTAGCTGAGTTTTTATTCTGTTCAAATTCTATCCATGAAAATGCAAAGGTGGAAGTTTTGTAACAAGGAAGGGAGTGATTAATTCTCCAGGATAGGAGCAGAGGCCTCTGGAACAATCAACAGAGAAGAGCCAAGAGCGGGACCCTACGTAGAGAAACAGAGATGCCTGAGATAGAGACAGAGATGATGACGTGGAGTGATGAAGCCACTGGGGACTTCGGACCCAGAAAGGGAAAGGGATTATGGGCCGAAAACTGGGGGGGAGGAGGGGGAAGTGTAGGGGGGTGGGTTTCTAGGATATACCCTTTGGGTGGTTGATGATGCATGGAGGGGATTGGAACCATGGCAGCGAGATGATATACAATGGAATGAATGTAAAACTAAAGTTCTCCCACGTAAACTATCATATAATTCACAATAAAACATTTAAAAAAAAAAATTCTATCCATAAACTTAAAGTAGTGAACATGGCTTAACAATAGCAACAGGAGTTAGTAACTATTAAGCACTTGCTGTGTGCCAGGCACTGCTCCATGAATTTTACATGATTATTGTGTTTAACCACCTCAATACCATAACCCAAACACCTACTGCTGTCCAGTTGATTCCAATGCATAATGATCCTAACTAAGTACTACGCTTGCCCTGATACAGAGTTTGAGGAAAAGGCAACACACAGAGGTTGAGTAACTTGTTTTTCACCACATAGCTAGTAAGTGGCAGAAATGAGAATCAAACCCATGTAACCTGACTCCAGAAACCCCTTTCTACATCCTTATGCTATATTTTATTGCACTAAAAATAGTGTCTTAATTTGAGGGGCATTGACACACGATTGAGAAGTGATTATCTCCCAGAGCTGCCTCCAACTTCAGACAGTACCTGGGTTGCAGATACCTGACTGACAGACAACTTGTACTTGCCCTTTAACATTATGTAAATTTGCTCTTACTTTGAAATAACTTGAGTCAATCCCTTCTTACACCAAATTGTTCATCACAATCACCTTCCTTGCTGCACATACAGCTTTTAAATCATTGAAAAGGTTTTTAGTCTTTCCTCGCACTAAAATAAAGCTTAAAAAGGCCTGCATGCACCTGTTCCAACTTACATACAAATTCTTATAGACACAGTAACAGATCTCATTGCAAGCCAGAAATTGCCAGTATATCTTTAAGCAAGCCACTGAGATAAAAGAAATAGGAAGAGAAGCAGCAGAAAGAAGAGAAAAAAAGCAGAGTATGAAAGAGCTACAACGTGGCCAAAGGCTGTGATTAAAGACAGCAACAGGCCCTGAAGAGGCCCAGTGGCAGAATCAAGAGACTCCTGTCCTCTAGAGGAGCTCTGGTAGTGTAGTAGTTACAAATCGGGCTGCTAATCTCACGGTCAGCAGTTTGACACTACCAGCTGTTCCACGGGAGAAAGGTGAGGCTTTCTGCTCCC